AAAAAATCTTTACAGCCTAGTGCAACAATAGAAGAATTTGATAATTTAAAGATTATTTCTGCAAAATTCAAACTCTGTGATAATAAAGTATTTAAAATATCGGGTGTGTATCGCTGTCATGATTTGATAAAAGAAGACTTTGTTAAATCTATAAATGAGTATATTAATTTAAAATGTCATGGAAATAACCATGCTATAGTGGGTGATTTTAATATAAATTTGCTTACTACTGATCACCTAGCTAACGATTTCTTATCAAATTTCCTTGATCGTGGATATATTCCGTACTTCAGTGGGGTAACGAGACCAAATGATTCAGGAGGAACTTGCATCGATAATTTTTACATCAAATCTAACTATTGTAATCTTAAATCCTTTACATACACCAATACCTTTACTGATCATTTACCTATCTTTGTAAGCTTTAAACCCTACAAAATTAATAACAATAATAATAATAATAATAATACTAAGTGCAATAATAACAATACTTCGATTAATTACAATCGTCTTATTAATCTTAGTAGTGATTATAACTGGTCATATTTATTGGAATTTCATGATCCGGATCATTTTTTCATTGCACTGACTGATAGCATTAAAACATTAGTTAATAATGCCAAAAACAAACCGAGAAATAACAATAAAAAAAATAAACCGCGAAAACAATGGGTCACGCAAGGGATAATGAACTCCTGTAAGACTAAAGAGAATTTATACAATATCTGGAGATTAAATAAAAATAGTGTGGAACTTAAGACGCAATATACGTCTTATTGTAAAATTCTTAATAAAGCAATTAAATTAGCTAAAAGTAATTTTGAAACGAAAAAAGTCAAAAATTATTACAATGATAGTAAAAAATTATGGAATTATGTAAATTCTAAGTTTGGGAAAAACACTGTAACTAGGGATATTGATTACTTAATTAATGATAATGATGAAATTGTTGTTGATAAGAAAGCTATGGCAGATAATTTCATAGATTTCTTTAGTAATGTTGGAAACAAACTTGCGAGCAATCTTGGTAAACCGGTGAAAATAAATATTGAAAAAACTGTAGAACATAACTGTAATAGTATTTTCTTATCACCAACAAATCAGACTGAAATTGAAAAAATAATTAATGAAATGAAAGAGAAATCTGGTGGAGTTGATAACATACATAGTAAAGTAATTAAGTGTATTGCCAAAGATATTAGTTTACCTTTAGAGTATATCTTTAATTTATGTATTAGTAGAGCAATCTGGCCTAATGCTCTTAAAAAAGCTGATATTATCCCTATTCAGAAATCTGGCAATAAACACCTAGCAACTAATTACAGGCCAATATCACTAATATCTAATTTAGCTAAAATATTTGAAAAAATAATTTATGTAAGATTGTATGAATTTTCTATTGGTAATAACTTGACATCAGACAAACAATTTGGTTTTATGAAGAATAGAGGTACAGATGATGCTCTCGCCTTTACCTCTAGTTTTATATATGATAATTTAGACAAAAATCGTGCATCTGTACTGGTTTTCCTAGATCTAGCAAAGGCTTTTGATACAGTTAATCATAAAATCTTGCTTGATAAATTGTGGAGCAAAGGAATCAGAGGTCTACCTCATAAATTGATTGTTAATTATCTATCAGGTAGAGAGCAATGTGAATCTTACCTTTGGTTGTTACACTGACAGTGTGCCTACAAATTTTCATTTGTACATTAAAGATAGAGAGTTGAAAAGAGTTGAAAGTTGTAAATATCTGGGAGTAGTTTTTGATTGTAACATGAAATGGAACAAACATATTGCAGAACTAATGAAAAAACTCAAATAACTTCCTCTTTTACAAATTAAGTAATTGGATAAACACATCATTACTAAAAATCATATATCATGGTCTATTTGAAAGTGTCATAAACTATGGAATTATAGCATGGGGGGGTGCATATGATAACACTTTAAAACCTATTATAAATCTACAAAATAAAATGTTAAGCAAATTGACAAATTCTGAAGATATGTTAGGACCATTGAAGATTAAACAATCTTTCGTTGTACAAGCCTTAACTCATTATTTTCGTGAATGTAAAACCTTGTACTCTGATAGAGTAATCAATACAAGAGCTAGACAGTTAACTTTACCAAAAATCAATAGAACAATAAGTACTAAAAGTGCAATTTATGTTGCAATTAAATATTTTAATTTACTTCCTAATAATCTGAAAGAGCTAAATTATACCAAATGGTTAAGAAAACATATTGTAAGATGGATAAGATCAATTATACTTTAATTCATGATAAATTGTATTTATGTAAAAATTTTGTAAAATTAATCTTAATTTACTCTGTACACTATTTACTTAGTTAATTTAATATTATGTATTAATTTTTTATCAATGTATTATATTTTTCTGGTGTCTATGCACAGGTGCTTATTGCACCTCTATAGAATTGCTTTACCAGAAGTAAATAAATAAAATAAATAAAAATAAAAATCTATAAACATAATGATTAGTCACGTTCATTAATATATTGAGTAAAAAATTTGTTTTTAACAATATTTGTCATAATTTATGACAAAGTATTGATTATATCAATATATTTATACTTTTTTTTCACTCCCATATATACTAATATTATTCTTATTTAGTTTGATTATTGCTCAAAAGTAATCTTATTAATTTTTTATAGCTACTTCAGTTTTGCTCTTTTGAATTTTAGGACTTAGAGAATCATTACTTATGATTATCAGTATCACACAAGGAACGTAATTTAAAATATAAAATATGTTTATATTAACCTTATATAGATATTTTTAAACTTACGAATTAGTGACAATATCATTATTATTATTATATGAAATAAAATATTATGTTTAGTAATACTTGCAATATTATTTGTCATAAATTATTAATTATATTATAACATTTTTCTTTAAGTATTATTTGTCAATCATCAATACATAAAGTACACGATACATTTTTTTTCATCTTTAGTATTGACACTATTTTCAGAAAATACTAAAACAAAAATCACAAAAAAAATTTACTTCATTTATTCGTAAATATTTAGAACTTCTGATATCTTTGATCGTAAATTTGACTGATAATTAAAACAATTAGATAAAATTTTCACTAGTTCTTTGGGAACTGATGAAAGATTCGGAGTAGTTTGCGCATTAAGTAAAGACTTTAAGTCAGTATCATTACTTACCTCCCAGATTGAACTTTCTCGATATAATTTGACTAAAGTGCAGGTTACCGACCATACGTCAGATTTAATTGTTGGCGAATCATTTTTAAGAAGAATTTCAGGAGCCATGTACATCAAGGTTTCTTTCGGTGACTGGGCTTGATGATACATGGTGCTGATGAGGGATTTCGTCATGTGAGCAAACCTACTGAGTCCCATGTCACACACCTTGACAACCATCTGAGGATTCACCAAAATGTTGGATGGCTTAATGTCTCCATGAATGACCGGATTAGCTTGAGTTTGTAGATAATTTATTGATAGACAAATTTATCAACCTATTGCGTGTTTCTTATCAGTAGTCAGTTTTGCACAGTTTATATTATATTCGTTGAATATATAATTCATCAAAGTAGTACTAGTGAATAGTTCCATTATAATAAACAATCTATTGGTTTCCATACAAATGCCTAGGGTCTTAATAACATTAGGATGATCGACAGACTGCGAAACGCATATTTCTCTAGCTATTGAAATGCAGTTCGACTTAGAGAGAGATATCATTTTCACGGCACACTCTGTATTTTTCCAAAGTCCTTTCCGGACGACACCTTGAGCTCCTGCACCCAAAATTGTATCAGTTATTTGCAACTCAGATCTTTTAATCATAGGAACCTTAATCGAATTTACCCGATTAATATTCAAATCTGGTATATCATTTTTAATAGCTTTATTAGCTTTGTTGCGTAAATACCACATGTTCGCGCCAGAACATGTGGTAAGTTCGCATTCAACCTCACCAGAGATGCGGCGACTGACGCGCACTCTGCAAGTCACTTCCCGAAGTCAACAGCTGCTTGCGCGCCAACCACCATAACAAACCCACACGCTGTACTCAACAACACGTGCATTATGTATATCAAAAATCATTTACTAATCAATCGTGCTCAACTCATTACATTTAGTGTTTTACCAAGAAGTTCTACATAATTGGTAATTCAGGTATTATTTTTCTTCATATATTTCAATATATCTCATATTAAAACCTGTTAAATAACTATCATTCATAACTTTTGCCTTCGTAACCTCTCAATTGTTATTATGCCAGTATTTCGGGATCACTTTTATATACCGTATTGATCATTTCTACATGTACAATCAGCATTCATAGGAGATTAAATAATATTCAGTATCAAAACATGCATGACTCATCAAGTTATATTCTTTCATTAGTGCAAGTTGTTGTCATACTTGACTGAGGTGATATCACCAATTGCTCGGTATGCAAATAATCTGTTAATCTCTAGGTTCTCTACTCGTGTGCTCGTGTGAATGCTGATAAGTTCTGTTAGCGTCCAAACTTCTCTCTGTGCTCATCACTCGTATCATCGCTCGTAATAAATATTGTCGCGTCATCAATAGTGATTATTGCGACATAAATCAATTAATTAACTCGTGTAATAAATTCAACAATTGATATTGTTAATTCACATAATTATCATCGCTCAGAACAAATTTAATAAATATTGGCATTTGATGCCACGTGTATTAATAACTCATAATTCATATTTCTAATTCAATAATAATAACAGTACTCGTGTCCAAATAATTACATATTTAGATTAAATAATAATAACAATAATACTACTCATGTTTAAATAATTAATTAATTAAATTAAATTACTTTGTTTATAGATATTAAGAGTTCATGTCTTCAATAATTTTAAACTGTGATATTTTATATAATAAACGATAAAACACGAATTTAAGTAAACAAATAAATTCTTTCCAACATCCCGATCCAGCAAAAATAAAATTTAATGATAAGATAATTTACAAGCTTCTTTTTTCAAAGAATTGTACTTGCACGAGAAAACACAGTGGTATTTTCGGTCTGAAGCTATATTTGACAGCCAATATCCAAATTTTTCCTGTTTTAGTAATTTACCGTTCTCATACCACGTAAAAATGGTTCCACAGTCATCAGTGCAATTGGTGATAATGCCAACTCCATGGACTCCATTGCACTTTCCGTGCAATTCTTGTGTATCATGAAGAATGTAATGATAACCACCATGAATGGTTTTCGTTGACGAAAAAGTATACATCCGAGTCATGTCCGAATCAGTGTAAATGTCCAATAAAACCTTGCCATTCACAGAAATAGAGGAAATTCTGAAACCATTCAGAACAGGGTCAAATTCATCCATTGATAAATTTCCTACGTTCTCGATTTCTGTATTGTATAAATCTTCTTTTGAATAATAAGCAATTGACAAATCATTCGAATATTCGGAAACCACTACCCGTTCATAAGTGATACATACATTATCATCATCATCATTACTCATATCAGCTGGAGTTCTAGATTCATTTGCCACAGTATTATCATCTATCTTTGATTCCGAAAAATCAATAAATGATGATAATAATAAGTCATTATTTTCGGAACATTTTGGCGGTGACTCTGACATTGTAAGCTTCTCCCGAGCCCTTGATAGCGGTTGGATTATTAACGATGATGCAGTTGAAAGCTTATCATTTTTAGAGCTGGTCAAAGACTTGAAGTTGTTCGACTCTTCCAATATCTCCAAGCATTCGTAATTTTTATGTGTTGATGACTCTTTTACTGTATGCTTCTCCCGAGTCGTTAATACCGATTGAGTTATTGATGATACTGTTGAAAACTCATCATTTTTAGAACTAATTAAAGATTTGTAGCTACTTAACTCTTCCGATATCTTCGAACTCTCATGAGTTTTCTCAGGATCAATATTTTCTTTTGGTGTAATTAATAAATAGAGTCGAAAACGAGAAACCACAATTTTTTCGTTTCTTATATAAGTCCACAAGTCATCATCATCATTATTGCTACTTTTGAATGAAGAAAGACATTTAGCATCAAATGTGCCAACCTGAACATCAAGCCGGTCAAATGGCAGAATTGAGCTGTCAAAAATTTTGATCATCTGCTCCTTTATGTCAGGCATCGAATATTCCCATGGGTGACGTGAAGGTATCGTTTTTATGCCTCCAAGCGGTGTTTTCATTTGCTTATATTTTTCGGTAAAAGATTCTCGATGGAGCCATCCTACATGAATTTCTCTGACTTTGGATTTTTTTGAATGTTTAATTTTCCTTGTGGCAATAAAAAAATAAATTTATATTTTAGACAAAACGTGAATAATATTTAATATGAAGGCTAAATTATTACTTACCTAATTTTCACGTTTTTTTTCTGTATTTTTGTTTTTATCCCTTAATGATGTTAAGATTCTTTCCACCATTTCACTTTTTTTAGGATTTACTGCAGTTTGTTTGGAAACTGTAACATTCAATTCAAATTGTTAATGAAAGTGTCATGACAAGCAGATATCGGAAGATTGCTAAATCTCTGATTATTATTCAAATGATCAATAAAATTAATATAAGCACATTGAATTGACATTGGGTATTTTACAATAATTTTATATGATACGAAAATTTGGAGGTGCTTGATAATTTTTTTCATTAATTAAATTAGAACTGAACAATATCGTGATTTTTAATTATACTCGGTTTTTAAAATTTCCTACTTATACAATTTATATTTTATACAATTTTTTCAACAATAAACTTTCAAGAAATTAATTTTGTTTAGAAAAATTTATATTACTTACTTTTTTCAATAATGTAAACTTCATATTCCAAGTTCGGATTTCTAATAATCATTTCATCAGAATGAATCTCCACAGCATGTCTTTGCCCCCCTGTTTTGTAGGTTAAGCCTTGCGCGTCGGGATAATAACTTTTTAAAGTACATAAATTCAGATTTCCATTTTCATTTAAAGGTAAATTAATGGTATCACCTTTGTAAATTACAATTATTGATCTTTTCGACATTGTTATAGTAATTTAGTAATAATTATTACATTAACGCTTACAAATTCAATTTAACGACTTTTTCTTTCGAGTGAAAGCCTGATAATTAAATTCCAGATTGAGAGGAAAAGAGTGAAAGACAGAATCTAGAAGGAAGAAATAACATCTTAGTCATCAGAAGGAAGAGCGGCAGCTAATTCCTCCACCCGCGAAGAAATGCCTTACGGCGGTACCATGGGGGATCAGAGGATAGAAGAGAAGGGGATTGTAGGGTTCAGTGGGTAGGGGCGTCAGCGTCGAGTTTTAGCATGACGCTGCGTCGAGTCGCCACATATCCAGGCCAAACAGCTATGCCTAGAATTCGTAAAAAGGATCCCCCCCCCCTAAAAAAACACACACACACACATACAGACATAGTGACAACATCGCAGGGGTCGTCAGGAAAACTTTCTATGACCTTATAACGTCGAGATCTGATAACTCGATATTTGCAAAGCGGGATGAAAACAATAACTTTCCGATTTTTGAAAATCTTTGATTTTCTTAGCAAAAAGTTAAAAATTTTTTCCGTAGTTTTACCAGATAAAAACGGAATATAAATTTTTTTACGAGTTACCCAGGTAACATGTGCTTGAGCAAGATTTAGGTGCCAGTGTCTTAAGCAAAACCCCTAGTTGCTAGTGTCTTTTTCTACGTATGGGTCTTGCTCAAGTTCATGTAGAAGGAACTGGTTCAAGATTCATATAAGACTAGCTCAAGACATCTTGTGTAAGAATATGAGACAAGTCTAATGCAAGGTGCATTGAAAAACTTTCTGACGAATTTTTTGTATCAGAAACTCACAACACACATTCACCCATGACTTGCTCAAGATTTGATCAAGATTCATGATGCTCACTAACTAATCAACCGATTTTTACGTGTTCGGAAGCGATAGACGTGATTTTTTGAGCTCTTATAATTATTTTATTTCATTAAAAATGATCCAAAGAGAAATGTCGATGTTATAATGAATTGTAATGCACCCCAAGTACATAAAATTTTTTTCCTTAATATTCACTGTCTTTAGCGTTTTTTTATCTAAAATATTTTTTGTAGTTGGTTTTTATTCAATTTAATGGTTTTTTGCAAGAATTGAATTATTATCATTTGTAACAATAGTTGAACGTGAACTTGGCGCGACGGTTTACAGTGAAACTGTTTTTTTGTGGGATATCTCTTTTTCAACTTCTCGTTAAGATTGAAAATTTTCAAAAATCGAGAAGTTATTATCTTCAAACCGTTTTTCGAAAATCGAGTTTTCATCAGATCTCGACGTTTTGAGGTCCTAGGAAGTTTCCATGACTAGTTTCGCAAGGGTGTCACTATGTGTGTATTTATGTGTGTGTTTTTTTCCCCTTGGGGCGGGGGGACTCCTTTTCACGGATTCTAGGCATATCTGTTTGGCCTGGATATGTGGCGACTCGACGCAGCGTCATACTAAAACTCGACGCTAACGCCCCTACCCACTAAACCCTAAACCCCTTTCCTCTTTCCTCTAATCCCTCATAAGAACCGCCGTCAGGCATTACTTCGTGAGGGGAGGATATAGCTACTGCTCTTCCTTCTGGTAGCTAAAGTGTTATTTCATCTTTCTTCTAGTTATTGTCATTTGCTCTTTTTCTTTCGATGGAACGCAAGTCTATGAGGACTTCTGTTGCAACCGTGTTTGTGGCGTTCCAGGCAGCCTCTGATGACAGCATTGCTTCTACTATTGTCTCTGGTTGGATTTTATTCTTCAGGATCATCTCCAGCTCATCTCGCTGTGGGTAAAATCGTGGACACTCAAAGAAAACGTGCTCCGCGTCTTCATTGATTGCTGGGCAGGACGGGCATCCCGGTGATCATCATGCTTGAAGCGGTGAAGATACGTCCGAAAACATCCATGTCCTGACAACATCTGCGTCAGATAGTAATTGACCTCGCCATGACTCCGGTTTAGCCAAACGTCGATCTTTGGTATGAGACGGTGTGTCTATCTTCCTGTTGTCGCGGCGTCCCACTGCGATTGCCATCGTGCGATGCTGTTCTGCCGTTCTTCAGCTTTGAGTTCCTCGGCACTTAGTGTGGTTGACCTCTTTCGTTGGTAAAGGTTCCGTCTTTCCTCAGCTAGAACTCTGAGCGGCAAAGTTCCGGAAATGACACACACTGCTACTTCTGATATCGTGCGGAATGCACTGGCTTGTCTCACAGCGCTCAGTCGATATACTGGTCCAGCTTTTCTCCATGATTCTTGCAACTCCAGCGCATCTGCCCAAATGGATATTCCATATGTGTGCACCAATGTGACAACTGATGATAGTAGTAGTCTCCTGCACTGCTTTGGGCCTCCGACGTTCGGCATCAGTCGTGCGAGACTAGCCCTCACTACTGACGCTTTGGCACTGACGTGTTCCACTTGCTGTTTAAAGTTCAGTCGGGTATCAAGCATCACTCCCAAATATCGGATATAAGGTTGTGGTGTGATTTCTTGTTCGCCGACTTTCAGCTTGATGGTCTCTAACACTTTTCTGCTGGTTATAAGCACTGCCTTAGATTTGTGTGTGGCCAGATGCAGGTTTACCGTATTCATCCACCGATGGACTCGCTCGAAGGTGATGTTGAACATGTTGTTAATCTCGTCAAGGTGTTTAGCGACGATTACTACAGCTACGTCGTCTGCATACGCTACGAGTTCTACACTTCTTGGCAATTTCAATCTCAATAGGCCATCGTACACGATATTCCACAGCAGTGGACCAAGTACAGAGCCCTGGGGTACACCTTCGGTAATATCGTACTCTTTTAAACCATTCTTCGTGTCATATTTAAGAACTCTATCGGTAAAATAGCTGGCCACTATTCTACACAGGTATTCTGGAACGTTTTTCTCTCGAAGAGCTTGCATGATGTAGTTCCAGTTGGCGGAATTGAAGGCGTTTTTAATGTCTAATGCCGCCACCAGGCAATACTTCATTGTGCCACCCTTCTATCTGGTTCCTGCGATCGCTTCTTTAGCGGTGCTAACAACCAGATTGATCACGTCCAGGGTTGATCGTCCTTTCCGGAATCCATACTGGTTGTCTGCCAGGAGTGGGTCGACTACTGCATCTATTCGTTGATGAATTATGCGCTCAAATATCTTAACCGCCGTATCTAGCATGCAAAGTGGTCGGTAAGATGACGGTTCTTCTGGTGGTTTCTTCCATTTAGGTAACAGTACCAATCGTTGCTGATTCCACTTACGAGGAAACGTTCCCTCCTTGAGGCATACATTATAAGCATCTAGGAATAATGTTGGGGCTGCCTTTATGATGGTTTTCAAGGCTAAATTAGGGATTCCGTCCAATCCCGGCGCTTTATTATTCCCTACACGGTTACAAGCCTCCAGCAGTTCTTCTTCAGTGACAGGTGGGATGTCGTCCAATTCGCCTGGCGCCAACTGGTAATCTAAGTTGCGTTGCTGTGGAAACAGTGAAGTGACGATTTTCTGAAGAAGTTGAGAACACGTAGGTGATGGCATTTGTTATTTTTTCAGGTGGGTCATAACCACCTTTTAAGGCCTACCCCACACGTCTTTATCCACCTCGTTGATAAGCTTTTTCCAGCGTTGCCTCTCACTATCCTTGATGGTTTTGTTCAATGATCGACGGGCTTTTTTGAACTTTGCGACCAGCTCTGCAGAGTTAGGTCGTCGATAGCCACGCTGGGATATTCTTCTTTTCTTTAGACACACTTTCCGAAGAACGATGATGTGGTCGTTCCACCAGTGTACTGCCGGGCGTTGGCTTATGCTGCGTTTCCGGACCATACTTGCGTCACAGGCCTGGACAACTCTTTTCATCAGGCCCTTGGTCATTTTTTCTGCGGCTGCAGTAGTAATCGGTTCACTATTAAGGGCTATTACCAATGTGATTGTGTCAAAAGACTTCACTTTCCATCCAATGGTATTGAGTGACTTGATTGGTCTTCTTGTATTCCGGTCATGTGATATTTCCCAGAGAATTGCCTTGTGGTCGCTGGCTGTGTAAATATCCATTACCTATCAGTCGTATTTCCCACTGATGAAGCTGCTGCTGACGAAAGTGAGATCTAGAATAGAGCTTGGTTGTCCTTTAGTATAGGTTGGCGTATCACCACTGTTGAGCTGGACTACATCTAGTGTAGTAAAAGCTTCTAGTAGTGCGTTTCCTCGCGCATTGGTCTGCTTGCTGCCCCAGTCTACTGCCCAGGAGTTGAAGTCACCGGCAGTCACGACTGGATAATGCTGCTTGGCGTCCTCGGTCAGTTTGTCCAAGAATTCAGTGAATTCTTACCAGTGCTTTCCAGTGATGCTTACCACAAGACCAGATGACAGCCTTAGCGGTGCTGTCAGATTCCCAAGGCTGGGTATTCAGGTGTCTGTATGGCTCTGCTATCATTACTAAGTCTATCTCTAGTTCTCTTGCTGTTTGCATAAGCAGATCATGTGCAGCTTCGAAATGGTTTTGGTTAAGCTGCAATATCTTCATGTCTGTTCGTTTGTTATCTTCTGGAGTGCCTCTTTAAATACTGGGCACCTGGATGCGCCGGCATGATGGGCCGCGTTCTCCGCACTTTGATCCGCGCATAATACACATTTCGCTGGGTTTTTGTATTCAACAATCTTTTGTCCCTCTTGTCCGCACCTAATACATAGCTTAGACCGATCCACATTGCTCTTGCACTGGGATCCATGGTTTCCAAAGTGCCAGCACTTAAAACATTGAATTGGTCTCCTCATAGCTCTGATTCGGCAGTTGGCCCAGCCGATCCGGACTTTACCGCTTCCTGCCAATATCTTCCGCGCTGCAGCTGCTGGTAGTGTCAGAACAGCTGTATGAGTACCTCTGTAGGCCTTATGAATCTTAATTGTCCCTAGTGGTATCTCGCAGGTTTCTCCGATTACCGTTTGCAAGGCGGCATGAATATCCTCCTTGGTTGTGGTATCATGAAATGTCGGATTTCGACGTCTTCCTGTGGTC